AAAAGATAAATATATAAACATATTTTCAAGGCGTTTTCTTTGGAACTACTTTCTAAGGAAACTGTAAAATGAAGAAGGTCATTACATCACTGTGTAGTGCATTAACACACTGGTGCAAAGTGTGAAAACTGAAGCCGGTGAAGTCGAGTGAATTAAATAATGTTCAGGAGGGTACGTTAGCCAGCTATCTCGATAATATTTCCTATTATTGTCAGCTAATTACCAAATTTGATATATCTAGAATTGTATCACTTACCAGGCTACTTGTTACTCTGGTCATTAAGTTTGCATTTGCACTTTGTTTAGCTAACGTTAGCCAGCAATACCTCTGTTGAAACCTCCTACATTAATACTGAGATAAAACCGTTAACATTAGTAAGATGGGTACATACACACACACACACACACACATAGAAGGCCTATGTACACAAAAAAAAGCTATGCAGCAATATGGTTAGAACTACTTAATTACTCTCCACGTCTGCTGATTGAGTTATATTCAAGAATTGACACTGAACAAACAAGTCATGAAAAATTACTACAGTTAAACAATAAAAACGGAGAAAAGTAGAATTCCGCTACTATCAGAGGCCACTGCCAGGTGTATGTATGGCAGATGTGTGGTGACTCATCCCCTCCCCGACATGCTATCTGCTGTCCATTGCCTTTTCCAGAAATCCTGCATTGTTTGACCTGGCCAAACATTGCCAGAGGGTTTTTTTTTTTTGTGTGTGTGTGTGTGTGTGTGTGTGTGTGTGTGTGTGTGTGTGGCATGTGGAGTTGTGGTTGTGTTTGCATGTACAGGGGAGGGCGGATTGTGTGGGTTTTGTTGAAGCCCTGAAACTCCCTCATGGAGACCAGTTGTCACTTTGCTTTGTGTTTCCGCCTCAGAAACTCAGGAAACGAGATGCTTAACTGTGACTGAGAAAAAGTTACAGCTCAATAAAGAGAATATATGCAGCGATGTTGACAATGCCTCCAAAACATATACGGCAACTACCATCACACACCAGGAGGGAGGGAGGAAGTATTCTTATTATTATTATTATCTGAACTGAAAATCAACCTGCCCACCAGGAAAAAGCCATCCTGCATGCCAGAGATTCTATTCTGGATGTGAGAGATTAACCTGTCAACCTCCTGCAGGCCAGAAATGTTGCCTTGCCTCTGACAAATCAAACCAAAGACCAAGAATTGACCTGTATACAAGACATGTCTCCTGAAAATCGTCCTGAAAATCGTCCTGATGTGCTTGTGACCGGCCATGCAGGTATCCCGATCTACTGTAATATTAAACAAACAAGAAAGCTTCAGACAGGCTGTTGGCATAGACTGGGGTTCAGTGTTTCAAGTCGTCCAGCTGGTTCTTATTCTGTTGGCAGCATGTTCTGTGGATTAACCAGAGTAAAAGGAACAATGTACCACACATGCATGTCAACAACGCAAAGAAAAATCCCTTTCTTTTTGTATTGCACTTCAGAAATCTCAGAGGCTGATATCTTAAACCCTGGGCAAATCAAACCAAACCTGCAAACATACCGCTAAGGGTAAGTGAGACTAGAGGTATGTTTTTATGTAATTCTGGTGACCGAAACTTTAAGACCAGTTGAAGAAGGGACAAAGGGAAGGACTAAAAACTCTCAGTATGCTTATAGTTACTTAGAATTAAATGTAATACAGATTTTCAATATTTTCATTATTAAATGAAATTGGGAAACGTTTCAATTTTACATGCTGCCGACGCTAACCTCCAGCATGCACCAGAGTGTGTGTGGCTCACACAGCAGAGGCGCAGGGTCAAAGGTCAATCTCACTTTACAACAGCTGTGTAAATGTGTTCAAAGATGTGTGAGACACTCAACAACAAAATAAACGAGCTGCTGAGCAATTAGCTTCTTAACCCTCAGCTGACTGCCCTCACTAATTCTCCCTCTCTCCTAAGCACTCACTGAGCAGGTGGTTGGGTTACTACTCAGCCTCAACATTTTTTGACTCCGATTATGGTATTCAGGCAATTGAAACCACAACGGAATAGAAATCCCTGTTATCATGCCCGCCCTCGGACCATCTATGAGATGATGATTGACTGCGATATTTCATTTGTGCTACAGAAATGCCATAATAATAATGATAATAAAAATAACTTTCCCTTAACATTTAAATAGCATAATCACGAACCAGCTCACCTACCTAAGTTTGTTTTCAGGTAAGTATTTTATTGTAAGGTGTTTTACATAGAGCTAAATGATAATACTGCTGCAGTTTAGTCTCTATATCCTAAGTAAACAAACACTTAAACACCTGAACTTGTAACAGTTTGATTTAACCTCTTAAACTCTGATGGACTCACTAGTGGCTCCAACTTTACAACCCTTTGAAGCGGGGTTTTTTCTTTTTATTTATTTATCTAATTTAATGGGAAAATTTTGAGTTTAAGAGGTTAAATTGAGTTTGTGTTATATATTCCTCAGAGTTTAGAAAACATGCAAAACCATCAGTAGACACCCTAACTTTCAGATCATTTGCAATTCAAAAGCAATGTTATTATGTTATTATCATACTTATTGAAAAGTTTTGGGTCCAAGACTAAAGAAGACAGATAGAAGATGCCAGAGTTCATCAGACTTTAAGGCTTTAGGGCGTTAACATGCCAAGAAAAAGAAAAAGTTGCATGTTGTGTCTCTGAAGACTAGTTTCATAGAGAACTCTCATTTTGGGAGACAGGTTGAATCACTGCAGCTTTGCCAGACAGTAAGAAGCACTGAGGGACCAGGTGCTGCTTTGCAACTTGTAAAAAAACACTGCTGGTTAGGGGGAAAAAAGTGTTTTCAAGCGACTGTCCAGCTGCAGTGCTGTTGAAGGCGCTGAGAGCCTGACGCAGGTTTGGTGCACCCAAGGATAAAATTCAAACAAAGCAGTAATCTACTGTATTTCACAATAAAGAGGGAACTCTCTAGATGGTGGAAGATATCGACTTTATTCACATGAAACCACAAACCACAGTGGAGAGAGGAGGAGGAGGAGGAGAAGGAGGAGGAAGGAAGTGAGGCTTAGATGAAAAACTTAAAGGTTAATACGATCTGTACAGCGGCATCAGGTCGTGGACAGAGGGGAATGGAAAAAGAGGCTGGTGAGGGCAGATTGCTGCGTCACCTAAGTCTACACAGTGAGTCATTCCCTGCAGATATGTCAATGCGTTTTATGAATGGCAGCTAGTGACTCAGGGCCGGAGAGAGAGAGAGACAGGGGGAAGGGGTCTTATCCAAGCGGAAAAAGGCAGAGCACGCGGACAGTGGATGAGCAACAACACAAGTGTGTTACAAGGGAAAACACATACAGCAGAATAACCAGCCAGCAAGGAAAAGGAGAAATCAATAATTAACAAAAGCACACATGACAAGTCCATTTACAACTTCCTTTTCTTGTTCAGCCATAAGCAATGACTCTGCAGAGTGTGCGGAGATGTAAATGAATGGTGAGGCCGACAGGCTTAAATGTTTTGAAGTACTCCTAAAGCACCATGTTCACAAAAGCAATGGTCCAGGCTTTCATTAGCCAATAAAGACTCTGGCAGGGGGAGAGTTTTCCACTGCACTCAGATCAGCAACAACAGGACTTCAAGTTCTGAATGCTGAGCTGACTGATCTCTCCACTAACCGCTTCCCCAGTGATGAAGACGGAAAACATTTCTGGTTAAAGTCTCCATCAGGATGCCCACGAGACTTAAAGTGAAGAAGTCGTCGGGAAGTGAAAACTGAGGAGGATGGTAAAAGTGGGAACTAAAGCTCCCAGAAATACATTATGTTGTACCACTTTCTGTGAGTGCAGTCAACGATTAAATATCACTTCTAACTGCGGTGAAGTCATGTTGCTGTTGTGTATAAGCCATTTTATTGCAGCATTAAGATATGAACTGGAGTATCATAAAGCAAGATGTGAGGGTTATTTACTAAAGTGTCAGATATTTTCTCACAAATATACATTTTCAAACTAATCACTGAACTATCATATTAGCCTGTGACTGTAACCAATCAAGTTTGTTTAGTATGATTTCTGAGGCGTCTGATAGCCATTTGCCTGTTCAATAGCTAGCTTGCTGCTGGTGACTCACAGCTAGAAGAGACGCAGGACGCGTGCCGACGTCACGCGTTGCCGTCCATCCTAAAAGGCTGTACGAAACTTATGTTCATAGTGATGCCTTCTGAAGCACCTGTCTATTACAGTAGCGAGGCAGCTGGCTTCCATTTCGAACAAAGCCTATATACAAAACTGCATTTACCTCCATTGTATTGTGGTGGAGGCAGAAATTTCAGGACAAAAACACTTCAAAACTAAAACAAAAATGAGTTTAAATTTCAGGTTAACTGATCCTTTAGCAGCAGGTTTAGTGAGCTCGCCAGATGTCAATGTGTTGTGAAAGACAGGATGCCATCATCATCTGAACTGTAATCTTATATTGCTACATTCACATCGACATACTACATGATGGGTCCCGTCATGATGACTTCTTTTGTTTGACATTTGAAAAGTGAAGATGCGCAACAGCAGAAACGTTGACTGAGCTGCTTGATTGTCCATCAAGAAATGTGAGTAATGTGTCATAGAAGCCAGCCTCAGCAAACAGTAGTTGCACATTTTGTACTCAATTCTATTTTGTTAAGTCTGTATTTTAATTATCCAACGAAGGTTAAAATCAAGGGTGTATTTTAATTACCTTTATTTGCCTAGCTGCGCCACTGTTTATTGTACTGCGTTTCATTATTGTACTGAATATTACTGCACTCTTTTCACACTGCAATGTAGAGCTGTGCTCCTCGTTGTTGCATAGTGGTCCTGGAGGAAGTACATTTCAGTTCACTGTATATTATAAACAGACAAGTTTTGTTTAGGCTGTTTAAATAATCAAAGAAATAAAGTTATATTTACATTTGACCATGTCAAGTCTCGTGCTAGTTTGAAGACATGCAAGATTTTGGTCAACAGAAAACAGCTGAAGCAGATTCTGCATTTAATACTCTTTAATTATTTCCTCTTCAAACACATTTTCCTGATGTACATATACATTTCCATTCAAAAGGAAAAACTCAAGTGAGGTAAAAGTGCTGAAAAATGAAATAGTATAATGGTTGTAACCATCAAACTCATCGTCACAATCACACAAAGCTGACAAAAAAGCTCTTTTGCATTAACCATTTCAAAAAAATATATATAGTGCGACAAATTTCATATTTTTCCCCACTTTTTTTTTTTTTTTTTTAAACTTATAGCCACAAGCATCCCTTCATACACATGCAAACAAGCACACACACACCTTCACACATTAACGTAAACACAAATCTGCTGCAAAAAGAAATTCACAACTCTTCATATCGAAACTGTAGGAGAGCTTCCAGAGGGCCTCCATCACATTCCTATGGTGTTAAGACTTGTAATTTTAGACAAGCATAACCACTAAATATCTAATCCACAGCTTGCTCTGCACCCCTCCCCCGCAGCAAAGAATACATCTACAGGTGTCAAATAAAAAAAAAAAAAAAAAAAAATATATATAAAAATAATATACACACACACACACACACACACACACACACACACACTAATAAACCAAAGGCCCAAACAAGTTGGACGACCAAAGGCAGGGTGGGAGAGAAGCAACGGGATCAACAACACAGAAGTTTACAGCAGGAAAAAAAAAAAAAAAAAAAAAAAGAAACACACACACACACACACACACACCGTCCTTCACAAAAAGATTCATACATGAAACATACATACATCATTCTTGACGAAGGAAGTGATTTATAATGGGTCCTGCTGCAGCCCCCCTCTCATCTAGTGGGGTTGTGGGGGGTAAAGCTTTCATTAACAGGTACACATTTTTCAGTCGTCAGAAAAATAACCGTAAACACATGAAGGTAGGGTGGGCTCAAAAAACGCAGAGGATTTACATTCCAGGCAATGTTTGTCATTTTCTTTGACCTTGCTCGCAACTAGTGAGCGATGTCAACAAGAAAGCCAGCCAAGGAAGTTAAGAGTCCTCGCCACGCTCAGCAGACTTCAACCTGCAACTGTGAGCAGCAGCAGCGCACCCAGGATGCTGGTTTTGAATGTTGAATGCTTTGATTAACCCATTTATAATCAGTCAGAGAACATGAACAAACTGGGGAATGATAGAGGTTCTGGGGTGCAATTTCCTGAAAGGGATTTTAGCTGCTGGCGCTTAACTAGGAAGGGACTATCCACAGTGATTATAAGGGTTCCGAGCAAACAGCTGCTGCCAGGCTGTAGTAAGCTGAAGTCTGCTGGCTTACCTCCACCTTCAAGCATGATCTACTCTAATAAGAACCTGTAGCTTGGGTGAGAAGAGGAGAAAGAGAATACAGAGAGGAAAAGACACAAAATGAAGGAGAGTATCAGGAAGAGACATCTCAATGTTAAGGGCAGATCAAACCAATTTACCCTTCCAAAACAAACTGACAAAACAAAGCCCTCAAAAACACATTATGTCCCTGAGAACCAGCTCAACTCCCTTCAGCAATTGACCACATTAGCTTATTTACATTTCTCTCAGGTGGCTGGATTTGGAGTAAAACAAGGCCTCTTTAAAGTGCTTCTGTTAGTATGGGGTCTCTGCTGGGTGACCTCCAGCTACTGTGCCACAGTATGGCTCGTCAGTGCACTTTAGGTATTGCTTTGGTTTGGATGGGGGAACAAAACAAATCTAGCCAGATTGCTTTGGAGCAGGAAGAGATACAATGCTGGGCAGTCCATTAAAGTAGGGGTGTAAATATGTCATTTGAAAAGGCATTCAGGCAATACTGAAGTCAACATGGTTGCCAGTGATGAGGCCCAAACTACTAGTAAAACACAAAGAAGGGAAAATAACTAAATAGCTGAGAAGACTGATAGGAATGACTAGACCAGTAGATTCATGGAAAAGTATGGGTTGGGACTGAAACTAAAAGAATAAAGTATCAAAAACTTAAATTCAAACCAAAATTATATCCCCAACCAAATGTTCTCCCATAAACTAGTATCTAATATAGCGATTACAGTCTTGTATTTAGTTATGTTCCACAGGATTTAAAGGGGCTGAAAGCTAATCCCTCTTAATCACCAATTTAAAAAACCAAAAAAAAAAACAAAAAAAAAAAAACCTACTTTTAAAAAGCTAAAGCATTCTCTGAAAAGTCAAAAGGCACTTTTGTGCTTCAGTTGCTGGTTGTAAAGCAGACTTTGGTCCAGAGTGTGTGGCACCTCATTTGTTTTAAAACAACACAAAAAACAGACTATGGCAGTTCCTATACCAAAAGTTCAGCAGTTAAGCCAGCAGAACTTGCCCTGACCCCGGGTTGTGACCTGCAGAAGAGGCCGAGCTAACCTTCCCCTAGCAGTTCTCCAACTAGCCAGGAGTTGTGGGTCAGCCAGATAAGGAGTTTCCTGGTTATCTGGTATAAACACGAGCCGCAGTGAGATGAGCGGCAAGGCAGTGAGCAGGAATAATAGAGGACTTCTGTAGAACTGGGGAGGGCGAGGGGGCACACAGCAGCTGCCACTTACACAAGAGGTTTAAGAGCAACTTTACTCCTCTCAAAACCTGGATACTACAATGTCAGGAGAGGGAAGATGAGACAGGTTTAAGTCACAGCTTACGCCATATGCTATGCCACACTGCAAAAATTAACAGCTAATAATAGGCTTGGCTAGAAATAGAAATTCGTAGGTTTGGGAGGGTGGGGGCATGCTGGCGTTTTTCTTAACATACCATTCTCACTTGCTGGTGTCTGTCCTCATGACCACAAAAGGGGTTCAAAGACTGCAGGGTACCCAGCAGGCACTAGTAGTGGACCGGAAGTGATTCAGCTCCCACACATGTAAGGTGGCAGGGCTCCTGCTTGCACACCCGTTCTCGGTTCAGACGGTACCTCCCCCAGGAAAAAAAAAAAAAAAAAAAGAAGAGGATAATTATAGACGGGCGGTAGTGTGAGAACCAGTCGCTGAGCTGCAACAGACGAGGAGCCCATTTCAGGGCTGCCGTCGAGCCTGCAATGGTTGTGAGGGACGACCCTGCCGGCACGCCATGTGCTGCTCCTTTTAAGGGAAAGGACAGCCGGTCAGCCTGCCAACCAGCTCTCGCTCCAAGCAACGAGGCCAGCCGCATTATCTCAACGGGCCTACGTCCACTCTGTGCTGTCAGCCAGCCTCCCACAATAACGAAAGGATTGTGACATCTGGATGTGTCTGAGGCGTTGGAAGTGACTTAAAAACAGGGGGGGTAATGAACTCCTCAGACACACAGGAGCCCGTCTATCTGAGGCCAAAACTGTCTCACTGCAGAATCCCACTCAAAGCCAGGCTTTGGGGGTGGGGGGGTGGAGGGGTCTCGTCCCACACTTAAATTCACAGTGGAAAATGAAAAATGGACACATTTTCTCTTGCATCGTTTACAAATAATCACAGGCACTAACGGCATATTATGGAGATCACAAATGTCTGAGAGCTAGTTACATGTCAAAATCAATTATTTTAAATTGACCCCTCTCACGTCCCCTTCATTTCTGATGTGAACAAAGTTATTAGTGTACCACCTTAATTCCATCCCCAGTGAACTAAACTTAACACTGGTGCTCTGCTTTTTTTTTTTGGGCCATCACCTATTGTATTACCGCTTCCCCAATATTTCAATTTTTAATTTTTTTTTTTCTGCCTTTTCACATTTTATTATTTTGTTAACTGGAGAAAAACAAATTTAAGGCTGTAACATTTTCTTTTCCTTCCCTTTCTTCAAAAAATAGCCCACACTTAAATTATTGGGGGGGGGGGGGGGGGGGGGGGGGTTAAGGCACAAAAATACAACTCCATTAAGAATAAAGGCTGATAAACACAGAAACAACCAAACATGATGAGAAAGAATAAATCTAAACACTTAAAAATATCACTTTCTATTCAATGACCTAGACACCTCTGTAGATAAGGAATGAGAAAGGATTCCAAAAAACAAAGCAAAACACTTGTCCACTTAAATATAAATGTGCCTTGAGAAGAACATAGCATTTATTTTTTTTTCCTTTAATTTGTTTGGGGAGGTGTTTTTATTCCTTCTCTCTTCTCAAAAGCAGCAGCAGCAGCGGAGGCGGTGTCCTCTTGTACATCCTTCTACGCGTTTTGTCAGTTACACGGCAGCCATGTTGGAATGTTCTGGTTAGACACATAGTAGTTGCTGAAGTTGTGGTCTCGGACATAAGGCGCCGGCTGATAGTAGCAGGTGACGCAGGACGCATCAGGGATAGCGTTCTGCTCCGCAAGCACTCGGAAGGCCATTAGCGAGATGAGGTGGAGGGTCTGCCGCCGCTCATGGCCCATAAGGCACACCGTGCTCTCGTTGACCACTCGCCGCAGGATCATGAGGTAGTCGTACTTGCTCTTCTCCTCGCCTATAAAGTGGCTCTGGAGGTAGGCCTCCACCTTGCGCTGCTGCTCACCGATGTCAGGGAAGTCAATGAAGAAGCGTGAACACATGTACCGCTCCAGGCCCTTGAACTCCTCCTCACTGGCCGGCCGAAAGTCCCGCACCAGCAGATTGCAGTATTTAAGCAGACCGCCACCTCGGATCTCCTCTGGCCGCTTGGTGGCGATGAGCTTGTTATGCAGGTGGCTCAGTGCCATGCTGAAGTCCCCATACACACTCTCCCCACTCACAGTAGGGTGAAAGGCCTGTGACATGGGTGTCTGTGCATGCTCGTAGTAGGCAAGCATCGAGTCCAGCACAATCTGAAAGGAGTCCACACTGAACTCAAACTGCCGGCGTATTGAGTCCACAAACTTCAGCTCCACATTGCGGCCGTTATTGTTGGAGAGGGAGATGAGGCTCCAGCGGTCCTGCTCCGTGTTGACCTTCACCAGCTTCTGGACATAAGCCTCTTTGAGAGTCATGGGTGTAATTTTCTCTTTGTTTACACCTTCAGGCAGGAAGTCCAGCAGGGTACCCAGCACCACATCCTTAATGAGCCTGAACTCTCCCTCGTGAGGCAGGTCCACCCTGAAGATGACGTCCAGATCCTTGTAGCTCCAGCCAATATCCTGCACCAGCACGTGGCTAGCTGTGGACCCATTGAGACGGATGTCCTTTACTCTGATACCACGCAGCTCCAGGCGGGCGCGCACCCGTGCCACAATGTCTTTTAGACGTACCTCTAAGGTAGGGAAGTTTCCCCGTCCATGAACAGGGACAACCTCCGTCAGAACTTCATTCAGCCGGTTCACCTGCTCCCAGGTCAGGACACTGACAGAACAACTCTTTGATTCCTCCTTGTTATCCATCTTCTCACAAAGTTCAGATTAACTAAAAACAGGCAGGAGAGGGGAAAAAGATTCTAGTTATGACTTATGTGACACAAACCAAGCAAAATTCTACAAATCTGATTTTTTTTACCCATTGTATTTCACAAAAAAAAAAAATAATAATTTACAAGATGATTTAGCTTAATTTTGAAAATGAATGTTAAAAACACTTCCAATTGGAACTGCAACGAGCAATCGACTGTTAAATTAATCGCCAACTATTTGAATGGTCGATTAATGATTTGATTCCAGTTTCTTCACTCCTCCATGATAGTAAACTGAATATCTTTGGGTTTGGACTAAACAAGACATTTGAGGAAGTCACCTTGGGCTTTGGGGAAACCCTGATCAACATTTTTCACAATTTTCTGACATTTTATAGACCAAACTAAACGATTGAGCGAGAAAATAATCGACACATTAAATTATTACTGGCAGCCCTAATTCCAGTATCAACACAATCAAAAATAAATACAGTCCAACTATTGGCTTGTCAGCTTTAACACCTCATGAAACAGTAGCAGCATTATGACCCATTGTGCACGAGCGCAGCAGAATGCGAGCGCGACACAACCTGCTCAGTTACACACGCGCACACAGAAAAAGACAGAGCCCGTGAGGCTTCTAGAACAGCTCGCCAGCCTGTCTTTTATTCCAGAACCACTGAGAGACAAACGCCGAGCTAGCTTAAAGTACACTAAAGCAAGGGTTATCCTAAATAAATAAGCACATTGTAGCAATACAATTACATTTATCGCCACGCACGTTTCGCTGATTATTTTAATCCAGCCGACTTATAAATGTAACGCGTGACGAATGCAACCATATTAAGTTTTGTGCTAACGTTAACTGCTAGTTAACCTTACTCGGTGCTAAAAGCTAACCTCAACTTTTTAATTAAACAAGTTCCAAGCTGGGATAACCATACCTCGCTACACGTTAGGTTTGACTCCGTATCGGTCCATATGGCGACGAATAAATCCAGCAAAGTTAACGTTAACTGTTACGTAAGTTACGTTATCGTAAGTTTGGAACTTAACGTAAAACAACAAGAATTGAGGACAAGAAAACATCCTAACTGGTGTCACGTTATTTTTTGAATCATGTCTACGACTGGGTACAACTTTTAATTTACCGACACTGACTGAAAATAGGCTCCTTACTAACTTAAAATACAGCCCCCCCTCTGACAGATATAATAAAAAAACAATCGTGTTACATACATTCCCAAAAGCGTGCTATGAAGGATTTCAACGTCCGAAAAAGAAGATGTTAACCTGGAACTCGTGCAGACACCTCCACATAATCCACTGAGAGAGAGAGAGACACACACACACACAACTCTTACTTGTCCGCTCAAAAGTCAGTGTTTGAACAACTGCTCGTTGAAGACACGCCTGTTTTATAAAGCTGAAGTACGACCCACTGAAACACATGCACAGCCGTGGCACGACACAGTCCCTGTGTAACGTCGCTTTTTAACGGTGTAAAAATACAGTTAATTTAAGTTTAAATATATATATATATATATAGCGTTGTATTATTAAAGTTAAACACTAATATTTACCCAAAAGTCCAACTTTCATCATCAGCAGATCACAAAGTTGTAAAATAGTATTTGTGATTGTATGTACCAATGCGCCGAGCAAGGCGTCTGATTGGTCGACGAGATTTTTGCGTTGCCAAGTAACAATGATCGACTCCACGCAGGTCTGCATGCACGCAGGTGACGTTATCTGGCAGTTGCTGGGTTACGGTTCAATTTAAAAAGCTTCAGTTACCGATATTTTAAATATTTTACATTAAAATGTTTTTATTAGTTTATATTTATGATTTTGTTGCTCCAAAATCCAAAATGGAAAAATGCATAGAAATAGAGATGTGTTTAAAAAAGGTTTTAAAAAATCCTACACATACCTCAAAGATGAGGTATGTGACAAATACAAGGTACAACGTACAACGTACAATAAATTATTATTATCATTATTATTATTAATGAAGTTTACCACCAGTTTACCTTTTGTAAATGTTTAAATTAGTGTGACCAGTAATGGTTTTTTAAAAAAAAGATCAAAAATCTCTTTTACAAGAGAGACATGGCCAAGGTAGCAGCCATATATCAACACAACATGTTGAAATGCAACATATACAACATGACATCACAATAAAACAAACAAAAAAACAAAACAAAAAGTACAGCTATTTAATACAATGGCCTCTCAAGAAAAACAATCACACATACCCTCCTTCACCACATTCTTTGTGACGCAGTTTTCCCCAGATCTTTCAAAACCCAGAGTACATTGAAAAGCAACCACTTAGAGGAGCGTAGCTGGTAACTACCAGAATTGAGACAGAGAAGAGTACAGAGGTAAGCTGGACATGTTTCTAGCATCCTTTATACCAGTGCTGTTGGATGTGTGTGGTCAGTGATGTCCAACCCACCAAATCATAAAGAATGGAATGCAATATTGATGCATTAAATTATTGTTATATTCAAAATGTAATTTTTGTGGTTTTGCTGCAAACTGCTTTGGCAACATTGTGTAACCTAAATATTCAGGCCAATAAAGCATATTGTATTAAATTGATTGTTAATAATAAATGTATCATCAAAGGTAAATGCATCCATAATACTGATTACACTCAGTAGTCAGTTCAGTATGGAGAGGTGTTTATAATATTTAGTCTAACCTCTCTGATGTCAAAAGATTTCAAAATATTAGACATACCACTCAGTGCAGCGCAACACAGCTCAAAACACTACAAACTACATTCTCTATATAATCAACAAATATGGATGCTACTTTTATATCCAATCATGACACCTCACCTATCTTCCAAACACTTGAACATTCTGTGCACTTTTCAATCTTATTTTAACTCTTTCCCAACTTTTGTTCCATGTGTTGCAGGCATAAATCTTTAAAACCAACCCAAACTGAACATTACAGCATTACTTTTCTCTAGGTGTACCTAATAAACTGGCCTACTAATTCGTGCTTACAGTATCCATATAACTTTCGTTTAACTAGCAACAGCTAACGACTAACAACATCACCAGGCTGCTAAAAAAAAAAAACAAATAGTGGTAATGTCTTCTGTTACAACTTACATTGATTTTTCCAATAGTCTAGTTTAAGATATATATAGATAGGCTATATTGATTGTTTTAGTTTAGGTTATTCCTTGGTGGAAAATAGTAATAATGAAAGCATTTACGCATGGTCTCAGTGTACACTGGTCTGTGGAAACCAGGGCACAGGTCACCAGATATTACCTTCTTATGTACCAGAACTATTGAAGCCATAATCAGTAAATGTTTGAATTAGCAAAGTTGTCATCAAACACAACTGTAATCAATAATCAATAATGCAGAGCCCTTTGCATGTGTTTAGGGTTGTAAAAACCTTGTTGTATGTTTTGGAAATGGAAGACCAGGCTGTAGTTTATTAGCAGGAGACTCAGCCCCTCTGCTGATGGTCCTGACAGGCCTTTCTACTACGTTGGAAACTGCAGGCAGCTCTGGATGGATGCCACTGACACAGCCAGTGTCTGACACAGCCAGTGTCTCTTTAGATTTCTATGGAAGAAAGTTCATTTCACTAGAACACATTAAAACATTCCTCTCTAAATCTCTTTCTGTAGCACACACACACATATTAAATATTGATAAGCAATTGTAGAAACCCCCCCAAACACACACCCAGAGATGCCTGACACAGCATGGGGAACTCTCCCTTAGATTTCTATGGAACAAAGTTCATTTCACTAGAACCCCATAAAAACATTCCTGTGTAAATCTTTTTCTGTAGCAGCGAGTTCTTCTCTCACTAAGCCACAAGTGTATTGTTATGAATGATGCAAGGAAACCACAAGGTTTGTGAGTGTGATGGAAAGTAAAACATGGGAATAGAGAGCCTAAGTCACTCGCTTTCGGCTCATGGGACCTTATTTCGGAAAAAATATGTACAGTAGTCAATGGCGTGAGGCAACTTATTTTTTGATCCTGTTTGAATTATGATGTTTGTCCATTTAAAAAATAATTTTGTCCGTCAAGAAAGGTGCAGTTTGTCATAAAACAGTAAAGTTACATTTAGTCTTGTGTGAAAACCGTTCAATGAACTACATCTCTCGTCTCGCACAACATGTTAGCACGGTAATGCTAGCTAACATCCATTGCTTGGTTACTGCTGGCTAGATAAATTAGCTATGTTCCATGCAGAAATATATCTCACCTGATGTGTTTAATCCAACGACTCTTCTCAGTCCTTTTATCACATTATCTACACATGTAAGTTCTTTGACGTTAGCTTCATTAACGTTAGCTTCAGTCATTGAGAGAAGAAGTTACGACATCACATACGCGACTTTTGTGTTTGTGGTGTTTGTAATTATGTATTTTCACAGTCTTAGACCTCAACAGTTTTACATCAAATTGTGACTTTCTTGACTTTTAAATGTACATTTTAAATTAACCATCATCATATACCGTAAAACGTTGATTAACAGCCCGGGCTTTTATTTGCTAAAATCACTGAATTGACCCTGCCTTTATTTAGGACAGGCCTTTAACTCCTCTTGCACAAAACTGAAATAGGCTACTATGAAACAGTTTATTTATTTAAATCAGAATATTACTTGTATAAAAATATCCAATAATATCAAATACACGCCATTCATTTGATCTAGCTCCAACAGACAGCTTATGAGCTTTTATTTTGAAGGAAGCAACATAACCAAAACAACAACAGGGTGTAGGATGAGAAAAGTGTGACAGAAGTTAGCAGAGTGATGGACTTGGATTAATGTTTATGAAAGGCTGTTTTGATTCTTTTGATCGGTGGACCCTTACAGAGTAAAATAATTTAATAATCAAGGACCGGACTTAACGAGTGCTTGACAGGTAAAGTGATTAAGCAGCTTACAAGCAGCTAAAGTGGGCGACCCGCAAGGTTTACAAGGTTTTATACATCCAAAGAACTTGTATTAAAACCAGACCAGGCGTTTTTTGTCAAAATGTATTCCCACACCAGGCCAATAAAGGAGGTAGGCGGCTATTAGGGACTCGGCTATTAATTTAAGTTTTACAGTGTGTAATTCAGAACACAGTTCAAACGGGATCAAAAAATTATTTGAAGTAAGGTCCCATAGTGGTCCACCGGAAAGGGAGAGACACATCCCCCTGCAACAATAAGAGCTTGTTGCCTTGTAAAAGTGATTTTATTTTTGAATATTTGATAATAGTCGAACAGCTTAAAGTGCAGAATAGTACTTTGCTTTCAAGATGGCACACCGTATAGTTGCCTCGGTATTAGGTGCGCTCCATTTTGTTGTTAATTCAGTTGTTGCCTGTGATTCCCAGAAGTCTTTCACCAGAGAAGAGGTCATGAACATCAGGGGAACAACTTCAGCGGATTTATTTCCCACTTTTCTCGCGTCATCAGTGAAAATACCGGACATTTTGGTGAAGAGCACCCTCGCTTTTGCTCGGGCTGTGAAGCGCCGAAGTAGACGGAAACGAGTTATAACAATGACAAATCTGGTTTACAGCTAAACCCAGACAGCTAAGGTTGGAAAAGGAGGAGGCATTTAGGAGTGGTGACAGGGCTGGGTGCACGGTGCAGTAAAGTACAGGTTTAGCAAGGAGGTGCGAGAAGCTAAACGACTGTACTCAGAGACTAAAAGACCAGTTCTCTGCAAATGACGCCACTTCTTTCTGGAGGGGGTTCAGAAAGAAACTACAAACCCAAAGCCCCCCACTCCATCAACAACTCTCGCCTGGCAAATGAGCTGAATCAGTTCTACTGCCGCTTTGAGAGTCAATCGGACACCATCCCCCGTGACTCCTCCGCTCAGCTTCAGCCCCAGTCCAACATCTCCTCCTTCCCCTCCTCAGAGTTGGCCAACTTCACCCCTGTCCCCCCTCTCAATCTCAGAGAGGGAAGTCAACAGACTGTTCAGGAGGCAGAAACCCCGCAAAGCAGCTGGGCCAGACTCTGTCTCCCCATCCACCCTGAAGCACTGTGCTGACCAGCTGTCTCTGTTGTTCACAGACATTTTAACACTTCACTAGAGACGTTGCCAGCCTGCTTCAAGGCCTCCGCCATCATCCCTGTCCCCAAGAAACCAAGGACCTGAACTCTGTGGTAATGAAGTCTTTTGAGCGCCTTGTGTTGTGGAGTTACAAACTTGATTTCAAATAAATAAATACCTTGTACCAGAAACTGGAAACCTTATTGGTCATTCTTTGTTTTGGAATGAAAGAGGAAATCAGCTCTGCATCCACTGGACCTTTTCTGCAGTGGTCACATAAGTTTCTCAAGTGTGCCTCTTAAAATGTTAACAATAGTGTCAAGTATTAGTTAGCAGCATTAGTTAGAGAGAGAGTGCGTGTCAGCATCTTTTCCACAGCTGTGAATGTTGAAGTGTGTTTTCTGCTTAACTGGAAAACATGATGATATTTGGGCATGTTTAGAAAGGAAACACACACACTTATGAGTCAGCGAAGAGAGATGGGGTTTAGAGGGAACAGATATGATTTAAGATGCAGCTTCTCGCAAGAGTTTTGTCCTTTTCTCTGCAGACCCAATACTGGAAAAACGGGGTGAGATGAAACCACTGATCAACTGTGTGGAGCTTGAGCCGTGTCAGCTGTACAGTTTGTGTGTGTGCGTGTGTGTGTGTGTGTGTGTGTGTAGGTGTGTGTGTGTTGCGGGGGAGCCCCTAGGTGAGTGGGTTGTACATCAGTTCAGTCTCGGTGAATTAGCAGCAGCACTGGAAACTAGTATACTAGAGAGGGGATTTCCTTCCTCTATGTGTGTGTGTGTGCGCATCATATTTTCATTAACATTGATACTACACTGAAATGTACAGAAGAAACACAGCTTTCATTATGTCATCATAACAACTTCACGTAGAAATACCAACGAAGGACAGGAGTCAGAGTCGGACTCTTCGTGAGCATTTGTGACTAAATTTTCATTTGAACAAACAGGAGGAAGGTGCAGAAAGTATCAGCTACTGAGGATGTGAGGCTTTACTTTATGGCAGCACATCTGATGTGATGAAAGCTGATGGGGAATATATAAATCAGTCATAGTACAGGTCTGACATCAGTGCTCGATATTAGCTGTAGATGAAAGGCACATATGCAGTAAAATAAACCAGGGCAGCAGATAAGACATATATTTTTTAAAAATCTCTTATAAAATGTCTGAAAATATCTATTTCCTCTATTTCCCAGAGCGCAAGATGACCTTGATCTTCAAATCACTTTTTTTTGTCCGACTAACAGTGCAAAACAAGTAAATGTTGGGCACTTTGTTTGTTTAATTTTCAATCTAATAATAGATTTACCAAATTGTTTCTTTTAAGAGTCTGACCACTACATCTGGGTTTATTGTATTGGCCAATATTAGTTCAATAACATATCCATCCATTATCTATACCCACTTATACATGCACTGTCGTGGGGGGGACTGGAGCCAATCCCACTGACATTGGGTGGGAGGCAGGGTACACTCAGAACAGTTTGCCAGTCCATCACAGGTCACAACAAAACAAACAACCACTCACACACCAATTAACCCATTAACCTGCACAGGTTAATGCAGAGATGGGAAGAACATGCAAACTTCACACAGAAAGGCCTGTGAACAACCTTTTATATACAGTCTACAGAGACGACCAAGGTTGGAGCCTCGGACCTTCTTGCTGTGAGGCAACAGTGCTAACCACTGCACCACTGCGCCTCCCTTCAATAACATCATATTGCCAGATACGTTGGCCGATAAGTAACTTAAGCTCCTTCGATGTGTTTGAGGTCATTTTTAAACAGTGTCACTATCACATACTTTGACAAGTTTATTGATGTCCTGCTCACATCTGGGTGACAACTCCAGCAACAAAATTTAAGGGATCCTTATCAAGTTTGTTTAATATACTGTATATATATATGTGAATTTGTATGTGTTCAAATTGCTTGGTATTTGTGTGTGGATTGGAACACACATTTGTGAGTACCCAAAATTGTAAAATCATTGTATATATTTGTATTTTTCATTTATATTATATTTTATATATTATATTTATTTATGTCTTATACACATTTGTGACACATTGAATCTAATGTGTGGGTTTAGTGGTAGTAGGAGCTTTCATCACTGTTTTCCTGTGGGACTGACCCAAAACATCTATGTCATTCAACAGTATGCGACAGAACTTGAATGCCTTGATACTGATAACAGAGGACAGAGGATGTTTGCTTTTAAACATATATAGCAAACACATAAATGGACCCACATATGTGTGCACACACACCCAGTGACTCAAGTGATGGAAATGTATTTCAGATGTTTCAGCAGATCTACAATAGCTGCTTGTCTGCTAGCAGCAAGGTGAAAAATGAGAGGTGAATGGGAGGTGAAACTACAAAGCTTAGAAACACAAGACAGCCTCGACTCAGCTCCAGGTTTTGTATAGAATTTAGAAACTAGATGTTACAGATTGATGCTTTTCATAGAGATTTTTATATATGATTATGAACATTGCACCCATGTGCGATTGTCTCATTATGTCATTCCACAACTATAGGCATTAATCTGCTATTTCAGCCTCCACTCTTCTGGTTTCAGGCTCTCCACAAGATTTTTTAACCTGGCTGCAGGGATTTGGTCCCATTCAGCCACACAAGCATTAGTGAGGTCCAATAAGGCCGTTGAGTGATAAAGCCTGACTCATGATGGGGTTGAGGTCAGGGTTATACGCGGGCCAGTCAAGTTCTTCCACACTAAACCATTTCTTTATGCTTTGTGTACGGGGGGTCATTGTGATGTTATAACACGAAGGGGCCAAACACAAGCTGTCGCCACAAAGCTGGAAGCACACGGTTATGTATAATATCGTGCCAACCATAAACAGACCAAGGAGAAAGTACGCAAAGGAATGTGGATGGTAGTGTTAGTAGCAGAACTAGCAGTATTTTTATTTAAAATATTTTCTTCTTTACCTCTAGTGGAGTAGTAGCCATGCAGGTAGATTTGGTTTATTTGTACTGGTTATGGTATATCTGTTTCTACCCCAAAACAATGCATGGAAAAGTTACATTTGAAAAAAACAACAGTGATGTATGTTGATTATCTATATAAACATAGTAACATTGTCCTGGAAAGAGATGTTGTGGAATAATTTTTCAACCACCAGCTTACAGTTTTTCTCCATTGCTTATACACTATAACCAGGCTTTAGAACTAAAAGTTCAAAACCATAACGCCATTTATCAACAAGCACACCAACTTCCCTAAACTATAAACCCCTGTTTTGGCACTGCAAAACTCTGCACACAGATCCCTTCATTTCTCATTGCTTACACCATGTGATCATTTAGAAAGCACTAACATTCAATATTGTTCACACAAGTCAGCACAGCTTGAGCTCAATTAGCACACAGCTACCCAGGTGGAAACACCAGTCAGAAGCTTCAATAGATAGATAAAAGGGCCAGAGTCAGTTCATTGAAGGAAGAGGTTGGGGACACCAGAGAGGAGGAGGAGGAGGAGGAGGAGGAGAAGGAGAAAGATGTGAAGGAAGAGGAAGAGTATGAGGTGGAGGAGGAATAGGGAGAGGAAGAGGAGAAGGCGAAGGGAAAAAGAGGGAGAGGAGAAAGAGGAGGATTCTCCGGCCTGTCCCAGACCAAAGACAGGATGCTGGGGCAGAATAATAGTTTTTTTGTTTGGTGTGTTGCAAATTTACACATTTGTTACACCAGTGTGTAAGACTGTGTTGTAGTGTGTGAGCGTGTGTTTTGTGGGCTTGTGTTCTCAAGTCTGAGCACAAAGTTTGTTTTTTCAGCAAGACCAGTGTTTGAAGTGGAAATAAATAGGTACCAGTATGTCAGAACGTTTGTAACAAAAGCTTTCAAAAAGTGATGGAGACATTCAGATTCTGACCTGTCCCCAGCGTCCCCAGTGTAAATGTCCCGCCTCATCCAGGCTGTGATTGGTCGGTTCACGACAAGTGACATTGACGAGCTACATTCAGCACACGGCTGCTTGAAAGGCACCCGAGCTTCTCTTCTCCCTCGTCTCTCTCTGCCGACAGAGTTTAGCAGGCAGAGAGAACAGGAAAAGGTGAGCGTCACGCAGCGCCCAGATATGGAGAGGGCAGAGGAGAGGACGGCAGCTTGGGAGAAGTCCCGGTACGCAAGAAAATGTCCTGGTACGCCAAAGAGTAAAATGTTGAGCACTGAACAAGACTGAATGGTTTTGAGTGGAGAGCTTCATTTTGACCTGAAAATAGGATGTTTGTGGAATTAGGTGAGAATTAATGGATTTGTGTTTAGAGTTTTGAGAAAAGGAGGCCTAATTTGAAGAAATACGTTTGAAAATATGGGGTGGAGGCAGACATCTCAAAACCTCATCAGACAAAACTGAAACGACCTGCGTGGCTAGACACCACTGAAGATTTAGTCAGGACATGTGTGTTTTAGTAATTTGGGGCTAAACTGAGCCTTTAATAATTTGGCGGCTGCATAATGAGAGGCAGTGGAGTATTAAGGGGAGGATGGATGGAGCAAAGGACACAAAGGTAAGATTGAGACTGAGGACGTGGTGGGTTGGGTACTGTTGACAGGAAAGCACCTACATAGAAATTACAATGCTGGGAGTTACAGGCGGTTCAGTGTTGCAGAGCAGCCAGCTATCTAGGAAATGAGCTTCACTCTGGGTTATTACCTGCTCACTGTACGTGGTGAAAGAAATCTTCAAGGCTGGATTTCCAGTAACTCAGAAACACTTCTTCTCTCCACAGGACATTTCCGCCGGGAATAAAACAGGCCAGAATGCAATAGTATTTGAGAAGTGCAGTTAAGTTTCTTAGAATGCAAACTACTTGGTTTTGCTACACCAGTGAGGATTTTGTATTGACTTGCAGTTTGTCCAAGGATGGTCTAAACTTAACCCTGCAATAATACATTTTGGTCACTTGGAGGCATTGTAACAAGCTGTAAGCACAGTGGCTTATTTACACATCCAAGAGACACAAAGCAACATTAGCATTCATATGGAGCCCCCTCAGAGATGAATCTATGTCCAGTATTCACTCTAAATGCTTCAGTATGTTCACCAGCTAGTTGCTAACTTTGTCTGTCTGCTGTTTGGTGCTGATGTAGCGTACAGTTTCTAGAGTTTGTTTGCTGATCACCACAGCCTGCTGCTGCTAAAAATGTGATAAAACCAGTGAGACTGAACAAAAACAGTAAAGTTGTGGATCGAGAAAACGAAACAACTGAGCTCAGAGATGCGTATGGCCTCCATAGAGCTGAGGGCAGCTACAGCGTTGGGTGTCAATTATCTACAAGTGATTGCTTTCACATTACATTTCCATTACACATAACACTTAATTCTCAACCTGATCCTCCTTTTTTACTCAGGCTTCTCTGTGCTGGACCATCGGCTGTTCTGGAAGCTCTCTCTCCCCCCTGGTTGTCAGTTCCCCCATTCCAGATATTTTGGATCTACGTCCTCCAGGGCCCAGTTGTTAAAGTAATCTGATCGGATTTTGGCTATCAGATTGGATCAAATGCTGGAAATGGGTTGTTCAAAAGAAAAGAAAAGGATTCTGAAATTGGATCAGATCACCTAATCCAATCCTGGTTTTGATCTGGATCAAACTTTCAGTTTGTGTTATTCAAAACATTTTAGTTTTGGGATCCCTTTGATCCAAAAAAATCAGGATTATAATGATCCAAATAGAAGGGTAGATAGAGATAAAGTAGACATTACCTATCAAGCCATTCAGAAAAAAAAATCTCACAAACAGCTGTCAACATCAAACAAAATAATGCATTTAATTTAAACTGTCACTTATTACTGTACATTAATTACAAAGGCAGAATCATCAGAGGTTAACCATTCAAAAGTAGTTTGTAACAATTGCATCCCTTTTGCACATCCAGTCAGTCCCTCATTCTGAGATCAGCCTCTCTGAACTCGGAATGATCTTTATTTTAACTATTGGACTATTGGACAACACATGTTCAAAATATCTACAGTCTATCTGTGAGTAATGCATACTTGTTTGTTTTTCTTTGATTTGTTGTGGTACAGATGGTCTGACTGTGGAAGGAAATGTTTGTGTTGTTTTATTGTGCACTTTCTCTCTCTTCAAATTAAAGTGAGAGCACTGTAAAATCCGGATTTGGCAATCCAGAAACGTTTGTATCTGGATCAGGGTAATCCAATCCAATGTTGCTTTGACAAACTGGCACTAAAGTAAGATGGATTACGTGATCCTGGATGGCAAAACATGTCCAAATCCGGATCATTTTGTTCCAGATTAAACTTTTCGAACAACTGGGCCGATTCAGCCTCTCATCTTTTCTCTCTAGATCTAGGTCTAGAGGATTTAATTACCACTGAGCCTTCTTGCTGGAGCAGCTACTATCAGGCGGTTTGATCGCCTCTCAAAATGAAAAGGATGGAGGGTCTTGTTCGACTCGTTCCTGTAGCATCACTCACTCAACTCTTTAGGTGAATCCGCTGGTTTCAGATCATTTTGGTTTAACAAACATACACAGACACTCAACTGAAACAGGATTGGTTATCATTCATTTTCCCTCAGTCTCAACACTAATCTCTTTCCCTGCGTCTGTCCCCTCAGACAGGCTCATATTAGAACCTGCCTTCTTGAAAGTTGACAAAAAGTCAACAATCTTTTTCACTTTTCTCTGGACCAGAGTGCAGACAACTCTCAGTTGGACCTCCATGATGGAACAAGATATGTTTGCTGGTAGATTTCTGTTACAAATTCAAGGCCTCTGTTGAAAGATCAAAATATCTCTGTGTCTGTGTATTAGGTGTTGTTATTTTAGGTGTTTGTGCCAAAGCCATCTGCTTCCCGGCTGTGAAAATATCCAGTATGTATGGAACTACACCTGGCACATGTAGACACTGTGAATTAAGTATCTCTGAGCTGACGACAGAGCGTTATCATGATGCTCTTGTTTAGGGATGAAAGGCAGCAGGTCGGCGAGGTGTGTGGTTTCTGTGGATGAGTACATGGCTCAGTCTACCTGAATGGTACGTTAGTGTGTGTGTGTGTGTTTTCACCCTGTTTTGCAGCTGGAGCTCTGCCACCTGCTTCTCTTAGGCGCCGTGCCAGGCCACACATGGGTAAGCAGCCCTGGCCATTAACAGATTGAACACACACTGATTTGTATGTACCTGGGTGCACAAATTGTACTGATGTAAGTAAACACGCAGACACAAGTGCAATTAAAGGTTCCACTACGTCCGCTGACGAAAACATGTCCTAATCTTTTCAAAATGACTCAGTCAGAGGGTTAAAAGTCCTGTGCTTCCTTTGACGTCATTTAGTTAGAGGGCCATATGCTCATTATTTCACGATCAAACCTCATCTGAAGGTCAAATTCTGCTCCATGACTGCATCTGGCTGCTTTAGCCTGCAGTTAAAAAGAAAAAGTTCCCCCTTCTTCCTCTCCTCACCATTGATTTATGTTGCCCTGCAGAGTCACTTCCAAAATTATTTATTGAATTGAATTGAATAATATGAAAAGAAATGTTGGGACTCCAAAAGAAGCAAAGCAAAAGGCACGGCAAGGCAAGTTTCTCTGTATAGCACATATCAACAAGGTAATTCAAAGTGCTTTACATAAAACATAAAAGCAACAGGGAAATATAAAAAAAAAGTTTAAAAGCAACAAAAGGCAAATTGAAAAAATACACATTAAAAAATAATAAAAGTTACAGTGCAGTGTACAATCAGGGTTAAAAGAGTTAAATGGAAAATAAAAAACAGGCTGAGGGGTTGAGCAAACAATTGAGTTAAAATTATTTTGAAAAGAGAATAAACACTTAATCTACTCTCTCTAGCTAGTCTGTACCCGGGTCCATAGCAATCTTTGGGTCCACTGAAACTCCAAAAACCCTCGGACACTACAGAGAAACCAGGACATGTCTGTCCACAGGCCGCTTTGATCCAGTTAAAAGAAGAGGCTGTTCTGTGAAACATATTGGGTAGTTTTGATGTGTGGCTCTCACAGGAAGGTGACATCTCTTTAGTAGTTACCCATCACTGGGCCAAACCCTTTGGAGGGAAACCCGTCTGTCTGCTGAGAGTGGCCACTGGAGGAGAGATTGTTTTCTACTGAAGCTATAGTAGTCCAGAGAGAGAGAGAGAGAGAGAGAAAATTGGGATCACATTGGCAAAGACAGCATGTGACATAGAGAAAAGCATTTGAAATATGAAATGAAATATGTGGAGTGATTGAGTGATTGGAAGCTTTTAACGGTCTCAGTACGATGTTTCTGGTGTTCTGAGGAGTCGTGGGCTGTATTTACTTCAGCAACCCCCACCAAACAATCCGTTTTTCCAATAACCTCACTCGGTCTGTCTGGACGACAAAGAGGCTGAAAGGGATCTGTCCCGCGGATAGATGGACTCACTCACTCCAGTTTTTTTCCTTCTATTTATTTTTAAAACATCACGAGAACAATGGAAACATGACTGTTACACAGTTGTGTCAATGTAATGTGTTTTTAATCAGCAGTTAAATCAAACTAAAATGAAGTCATGGAATCTAAACACAATTTGAAATGGAAATCGGAATGGAAACAGGTACATGCTGAGCCTGAGGCACAAAAAATGCATACTTATCCCCCTCATGATGATATGTTTGATTTTATTGCAGCAAAAATGAAGGTGTGCTTATAGTTGGAGCACCTTGGAGACGAGTCTGAGACAGGAGGTGAGCAGTTGTTAAATATCAAAATCATCTGCTCCAGTTGAGAATTTCTACAGAAAACTTCATCTGGGATCATTCTGCACCTCCAAGTCAACGTGACATCAGCCTGGGACACAATCTTCTTGGAATCTGCAACAGTGATTTAACTCTTTCCAGTTCATGAAAGCTTGCTCTTCTAAATCCTCTCGGGGGATAAAATCATCTGTTACAAAGTAAGTGATTGAATAAAAAGAAGAACTGCGAACTACCACTTACTATAATGGTCCTGTGGTTTCAGCATTCAGTGCTTATAAAGTAAAGAAAAAAAGCAGCAAGCAAGAGCAGCAAGATATTTAATTTAATTAGTTTTCCCAGATTTGATAGCTGTAAATAGCTCCCTGATTTCCTTTGTTCCATTGATAGTACACTCAAAAAAGGAACCGTAATTAGTCTGAATACTGTATAGTTTGTGTATACATTTCGTCACTTTTCACACTACAGACTAAAAACTGGCTAAGAATGAGTATGTAGTGTGGATTTGGGACACATGATATCCGTTTTAAATCCAAGGTGGTGCATAATTTCGTCCTCACTAACTGGAGAACTACTTAGCAGCATTGTGTTTTAAGGTTCAGCATCTGTCTGAAACAATCTGTAGATGTTGTGCCCACTGTCCAGACTTTACTGAGGTGACCCTCAATCATTCACTTTCAGAGCTGCTCTCTGTCTACATGTAAACAGTTCAGCTAAGCTAGGATTACGATCAGCCTCTCTCCTAACTTAACTGTTTTAACTGTCTCCTCTGCTCCCTCTTTGTCTAAACATACTGAGGCTATATTCACTGTTAGCTGCTGCAGGGCCACATAAAACAACGCTATAAGTCATTTTATAAACAGAAAAGATCTGGTTCAGCAGGCTAAAATGTCTGGAAGTCAGCCTCGATGCTGTTAACTGTGTTGAAATAGCACACAAGGAATGGAGAGGATTACAGAGGCATGAGTGCAAATATGAAACCATGAATCACCACAGAAACAGTGGGGAGTTATTAATGTTCTGTGTAAATCAACATGCCACAGCTCTCATTTAGGGAATAAATAAAAATCAGCTAATTATCAGAGAGCAAATAACTTCGTGTGCTTTGCTGACATCTAACAAAATGCGGTTAGTTAAAGAAATTTCCTGTGACTGATGGAAACCATGTTGTGGTTTACACCTTCTGTGACAATTTTTGGACGACTGATCGATGTGGTTACGTAAGCGCTAAATGTCATACTGCGATGCTACACTACACAAGGCGGGGAAGTACAATGTACGCTTTGTGTCAAAGTACTGCTGATGTTTCCCTAAACAGAACAGGATGCTATGTTCTCAGAAACTATCCACGCACTCATGTGGCACTTGTGTAAAACTGTCAAAAACGGAAATTATAGGAGCCATGATTTAGATTCTTCTTCTTTTTTAAATGATGTCAGACCAAAATAAGATGAAGCAGCTGTTTCCTTGCAACATAGCATTTAACAACTTGAAAGTGTGGTGTTATGGGCACAGAGTGTGACTATTTAAACAGAACAGTGTTTGCTTTCAACCTGAAAATTTGGTTTCAGTGGTGGCAGATGGCAACTTTGAGTGCATTAGTCTTCACAGCTATTCTAATGGACACATTGCCTCCACGCCTGCATGTGCCCTGAATTTGAAAGTGAATTAATTTGAAATGTATGCATGAGCATATTGTTGTCCTCATAAAATTTTCGTAAACATATTTAAAAAAGTTCATGTTTTAAAACATTGCTTTAGTCTTTACAACAAATGACCCCCGATCTTATCAAGTCCAGAAATCCCTCTGAACTCATCTTAAATTTACAGAACTCCTTCACAGACTTTCCCTCAAAGTCTTAAGTGCCAATCTGGAGATAGATGGGGAGCTCACTGATGAATTTGAGTGATATATAATGGTCCTTTATACTGTCCTAATTTTTCCATTTCAGTGCCAATCAAACTTGCTTGATTTTCATCACAGTAACTTGGAAGTTGCTTGAGACTTCAAGGTTAAGGCTTGTGACTTGGACATGTGTGACTTACTCCCACTTCTGGTATTTACTCATGTTTGCTAACACCCTGCAGCTCTCATTGACCTGTTGTAACATACAAAAAAAAAAGTGAAACATGAAAGTCAACATCGGCTTTCTGTGACAGGTAGTACAACAGTGTACTCCTCCTGCTGACAAACACAGGCTACAAGCAATACAGAAATCCTGTCACACTCTCTCGTAACTATCAATACTTTGTTTCGTGATATGCATAAACATTAAACTTATCAGGGACCTGCGAGTGCACTAGCATCACAGCGTTCCACTTCACAGATATCTTGGTAACAGGAAGCATCTGTTCGCTTTCCCTCTGACTATCTCAGACAAACACACACACAAAATGCCCAGCGTGCCAGGAAAGATTTCTAAACACAAATCCGAAGGTGAGCTCAACTTCAGACCATCCACACTTTTATTGTCCCACAGGTAAAAGTTCAGTTTCTAACACAACTTGGGTTTGAGATGAAAGTGTGAAGCTGCACAACAAAGCATATCACTGGCAGGTGTACAATATTTGCAAGTAT